CAGCGATTGGCAGTTTGCCCAGGACTAGTCCATCTATTTTTTGAAAAGAGGAGGGGGGAGACGAAATTTTTTATAATGTATGCTGTCTGAAAGCCACTGTAAGCGTGAACAATCAATCAAGAACTGAAATGATTTATCAAATCTTTCCAATGATTGCTAAGATAGAATCCATCTTCTCGGTTGAAATTGTCTCTGTGCTTGTATATGTGGATAGCCTCATGAACGAATCTCTCATGGAAGCCAGATGGCTTACAAAGAACCTCCGTCTTGGAAAAGTCAATGGCATGTGAGCCTACTGAATTAGAACAATGATCTGCTACGGCCGAGGTGTTGGTCCTATCGTGTTTAAGGTCTGCTTTATGTTCACGAGTGCGGTCCGATACATGGCGTTTGGTTTCTCCAATGTAACTACTACCACAGAGGCAACTTAGTTTGTAGACACCAGGGTATTGTATGTCCGGAATCACATCTTTTACAGACGGAACCAGATCACGGATTTTATGTAATGTGTTGAAACGGACCTGGATCTTGTGTTTATTCAAGATTTTGGAGATCTTTTTTGTGATCCCAGCAATGTAGGGTAAAGTGATGGTTTTGAAAGGCTCCTCAAGAGGGTTCTTCTTCATGGTTTGAGTGATAGCTTTGCGGATTGTATAGTCGGAGTAACCATTAGCCCTAAGAGCTTGGTGATCTCCAAAATCTTGAATAAACACAAGATCCAGGTCCGTTTCAACACATTACATAAAATCCGTGATCTGGTTCCGTCTGTAAAAGATGTGATTCCGGACATACAATACCCTGGTGTCTATAAACTAAGTTGCCTCTGTGGTAGTAGTTACATTGGAGAAACCAAACGCCATGTATCGGACCGCATTCGTGAACATAAAGCAGACCTTAAACACGGTAGGACCAACACCTCGGCCGTAGCAGATCATTGTTCTAATTCAGTAGGCTCACATGCCATTGACTTTTCCAAGACGGAGGTTCTTTGTAAGCCATCTGGCTTCCATGAGAGATTCGTTCATGAGGCTATCCACATATACAAGCACAGAGACAATTTCAACCGAGAAAATGGATTCTATCTTAGCAATCATTGGAAAGATTTGATAAATCATTTCAGTTCTTGATTGATTGTTCACGCTTACAGTGGCTTTCAGACAGCATACATTATAAAAAATTTCGTCTCCCCCCTCCTCTTTTCAAAAAATAGATAGACTAGTCCTGGGCAAACTGCCAATCGCTGCGCGTGACGCCAACGTTTTTTTATTATAAATAAATAAATGTGCCGTTTAAAAATAAATTTATGCAAACCAACACACCTGATGATGACCGTTTGAGTTATGGTCGAAACGTCGTGAGAATTTTTTATTGTTTTATATATATTTTGTTATTTTGTTGTTTCTCCTCAACGTGACTTTACCGAAAAAACTAAGAATATGAATTACTGCAGTCACGAAAGCTTTAAATCAAAGGTATTCAAGATGTCAAGAGTGTCAAACCCGCTCGAGCTGTACACTTAAAGGTTGCGTCATCGGCTTAATCAGCATTTACGTCGACCTTGATGACTAATGAAAAAGTGCCACGATTGTTTTTGTTGCCAAAATGTGGCGGTGGTGGTGGTGGGAGGGAGTCTATCAGTCACAAGAGCCAACGCAGAAGATCCCTGGGGTTTGATCTTCCATGAAGCTGCTCACGGTCCACCCTAAATCGCAACCACTGCATAAACCATGACAGATGCGGACACCCGATGCACAAATGGTAAATTAAAAACTCTCCGGCGGCAGTAGTGCCACTGTGGTCATCCAGAACAGACCACGTACAACGTATAACGACGCAATGTCCCGATTCACAAATAGTGAAGGAGACATCATCACAGCGGTGCACTTCGCGCTTCTCCTGACGCGGTTACCTGCTGGATGTGAAATTGTAGTTGCTGCTCTGCATCTACATCAGTAGAAGCAGGGGAAGGAAGAGCAGTGGTGAGACGTTAACTACCTCGCTTGCTTTACAAGAGGTCGTGGGTTCAATCCCAACCCTGAGACCTGCTGTATTTTTGGAGTTTGCATGTTCTCCCCGTGGTCGCATGGATTTTTCTCCAGGTCCTCCAGTTTTTCCGTCCACATTTAGAATCGACGTACCGTTTCGTCGCATCAAAGTCACGTAAAAAATGTCTGGGAAGTCCGGACACTCATGGGCTGCGTCCACAGGACAGTCAACCGCTGACTTCTCACCAGGCGGGGCTCTCGCTTCGCACCGCACGGCAACGGCGGAGTAAGCGTGGCATCAACAACAGCCACGCGACTCGCACGCTTAGCTGGGAGACGTGAAAAGTGCTGCAAACGAAAACGCGGAACGCCGCGAGAGAGAGAGAGGGAGTGGGGGGAAGGAGAGCAGGGCACGATCGCGCGTGCGTACGTGCAGGCCGGACGGCGTGGGCATGCCCGTGCGTTACGCATGCCTGCTACTCCAGCGACTCGCAGGCAGGGTTGGTGGATCGCACGCAGGTGGCATGCGGTACAGCGAGCAGGTTTCAAACCTTTCTGTGCCGGGTTTGGGAGTTTTCTCTTCGCAAGCGTGTGTATTCTCCGGGAACTCCAGTTTCCTCCCACAGAGCAAAAGATATTCACGTGGGAATTGGTCAAGCTTCCTGAGCGTGGGCGTCGCTCAAACGGTGTTGGAACATGTCCGGACTGTCCCGAGTACGTAGCGATGACCTGCTTACAAGGCCACGTCTGCTGGGGACTAACACGCACGTCAGCCGCTGCAAGAACACGACGTTAGAATTCCTCCGGACAGTTGGCACGAGAGCGATCCGAGGAGTCTTCGTATGACACAGCCGCGTTGCACAATGGCGGGAAAAGAACAAAACAACATTCCGCACTTTAAAATCGGTCGACTGCACTGATCGCTAAACGTGGCTAACTTCTGCGCTCCCCAACCGAGGCGCTTGAGACTCGAGACGCCCCGGGGATGAGCGAACACCGTCAGAGCGCGAAAAATCGGCACGCGCAAGCGTGGGTCACAGAGACTCTCCCAAGCGCTTTGCGTCATCTTGCCATTTGGACCGCCGCTCGCCGCCGTTGTGCTAAAAAGACACCGCGCGTGTTTAAAACGCATATTTCAGGGAATTGTTTTTTGGAGGGTGCCGCGTTTTTTTGTTTGTTTTTGCTTCCCCCGGAGGTCACGGGGCGAGATGCTGTGACGAGGTTGAAAAGGGAACGAAACGGCCGAGTGAGTAAACATTCCAGAGCGCGGTGATGGAGTCTTGCTCATTAAGCGGCCTCATTTTCAGTTTAATACGTTAAACAAAGTTTTACGGACACGTCACTGAATTCCAGATCCATGATTCATTAAATCAAACACGTTAACAATTGTTCGCTTCAACCTCCCCCACTGAATTCACGTTGCCAGCGCTGCATACAAAAAAAGCAGTTCCAAAGAAATGAGTTTTCAATCCAGATCTTAAAGTGCATAGCTCCAATTAGGAAGCCACTGGAGCTATGGAACTTTTCAATCTAGATTGAAAACGCATTTCTTTAGAACTGCCAGGGGCAAACCCCGCCGCGTGTGCCCCCTCGACGCCTTCAAACTCAACGGGAAGAATCGCATCTGACGTGGACGCCGTGACGTCCGAGGGCGGGCGGGCGGGGGGGGGCCTCAAAGCGCGGTCGCCCCCAGATTCGCCCTGTACCCTAGGGACGAGATCGGCTCAAGGTGGATCGGCCTGGGGAAGCCTCGTCCTGCAGTGGGTAGATCATGGCCGATGACGACACCAACGGCAACGAATGTGATCACCCTTGCCGACTGCGCGTGGGATTTTGTTAGGAATCACGGTCGCGTTTGAAACGTTACGATTATCACGAAGCCGAAATGGTCGCGTCGGCATCTTTGGTGAAAGACTACGGAGCGTAACGAATGTTCAGCTCCCGAATGGGCGGAACGTCGGACATCGATCTGAGCAACGCGCGGAAAGTCGGAACGCCGCGCAGCTTTGCAAACTTATTATTGTACATTTATGGAATTATAATAATAAATTAATGTGAATCAAAAACCAATTCGTACACGCACATGTTCTTAAGAGATAATACAAATTAATGCCCGAATCATGGCCAGGACATTAATACCTACCCAGTAAACATGGAACGCTGGGGCCAACGTTTTTGGGCCCACGTTGTTAGTCCAACGGTTGCACCCGCATGCTAACGTTGGCCCAACGTTGTGGCATGTTTACCGGGTCGTTTTCAAGGAGCAGTGGACTCGAGTGGACAAGTCGACACAAGCTGGCTCTCCCGTGACGAGTGAGAACACCAGCTGAGGGCTGTGTCGACCCAGCAGCGAGGACGAACAGGGGAAGGAACAGCGATGGCTAGGAGATGTTAACTGCCGCGCGAGGTATACAGGAGGTCGTGGGTTCAATCCCGACCCTGATGCCTGCTGCTGTATATTTTGAGTTTGCGTGTCTCTCTCTCCCCGTGGTCATTTTGATTTTTCTCCGGGTCCTCCAGTTTTTCCCTCTGCATTTAGAATCAACATCAGGCGTTTAGAGTATTTGGCTGCTATACATTTCCACACAATGATAAGCCGCTTCGTTGAGCTATCATTCCTGATGGCCAGGTCGCTTCTGCAAAAAGAGCTCTATACCTCAGCAGACTTTACCTGGCAAAATAAAAAATTAGTTTAGTTTAAGTTTAGATTCCCAGCCTTGCTCAATAACCAGGAACAAGCGGAAACCTACACCTGTCGTGGGCCTCCTCTAGGTCCACTCAGCCTTAATTGCGTATCCATCATGGAATGTGAACATGAGCGTTGAAGAGACATTGTACGGGGTGTGGTGCTGTACACAACACCCCCTCGTCAGATGTTGTGCCGGCCTCATGGGGACTTTACAACATGCCACTTGACCCAACAGTCTACAATGGCCACGTTCCATACTGTCGGTGTAAAATTAAAATAGTTGAAAGTTGCAGTAGTTTTTAAGAGGCGGCGGAGAGAGAACCTACCCTGCCGTTGACCGTGAGCTCCGACAGCTCCTCCTCATCGTCGCGCGTGGAGAGGCGTCGCGAGAGCAGCCGTCCCAGGGACTTCATGCCGCCAAGTTCCCCGCGACCGGACCTTCACCGCGCCGTCCCTCGCCCGCCCCTTACCCCTGCCGCGGTTGCGTGGGCAGAGGGTGGGGTGGGTGTGGGTGGGGTGGGTGTGGGTGGGTGTGGGTGGGTGTGGGTGGGTGTGGGTGGATACCCGCCGACCGAGGTGCTCCACACGCAGCGGTGGCGTCGTCCGCGCACGGCCGATGCGAGCCTGAGAGAGAAGAGAGGGCCCACAGAACACGACACCGTCAGCGAGTAAAGTCCGTCGGTCGGAAAGACATTGGCGGGTGCCTCTCTGTTGCGCCGTGCACACACGCGCACAGAGAAGCCCTCTTGTCGGTCCGTTGCTGGACGAGGCGCTCATCGTACCGGAGTTGGATTGCGCCGGGCCAATGGCCGTACTTCACTGCCCTGGACTGGTCAGTTGGGGTCCGTGCAGGCGGGGAGCATAGACGTGGGAGCATAGTATAGTGCAATGGATTTTGCTGCGTTGTCCTCAGGTGGCAGATGCACTGCCCCGTGTAGCCCCACCGTTTCATCCGTGGCAATTTCTCATGCAAGCACTCTCCAGGCTCCAGCCCCGCTTAGCTTTCTGAGTCCGCCGGGTGCGTCATTATTGTTATGGCTCCAGGCGATTTGGTCACCGAGGTATGCGCAGAATTGCATGTGAAGCTACGCCATGTGGCACTGTGGTTATAGCACCCGGCCTCTAATCCTCAGGTTGAGGGTTCGAGTCTTGGTCAGGTGACATCTCGGCCAATCATCCATCCCTGCCAGCTTGATTAAAAAATAAATACAGGACTACTTTGTGCACAACTCACAATGCCAGCTGCGGTGGGTAAAAATAGCACCACTTTGTTTGACGTTAACACAAGGCATCCAATGTGGAAACTTGTCCCCACCATGGCAATGTGGAGTTGCCGGCATTGGCTTAAGTTCGCCAACAGCGATGAACACCCCAAAACACTCACGAAGATAGGGGCGCCTTGATCAGTTGACCGAGTAATTCGCCTCCCAGAGGAGTTACGACACTACCGTCAAGACAAAGCATGCAAGGCCCCCAGTGCCGGATGAAGCGAGTGCGGGGCCTGTAGCTTGATGTTATAAAGGGGCCCTAAATAAAAAAAAATAAACACACATACATTGTTAACTTGCATAGTAAAGTAAATTGTATTTTTTCATTTGCTATACAGCTAGATAATACGAGAAATCGCTAACCTTAAACACCCGGCCGTTCAAGTTGAAGGCGGTATAGTACTATAGTAATAGAGCAAGTGCAGACTCACTGAACCGGAGTTGATCGCTTGAAAGTGTTTAGCGCGGAGCTGCTTCTGCTCCTAGAACAATCCGGCATTGAAGGCCCCCATACCCAGGACGTACGGGTATTGTACAGTCGTATGGTATGTAATATGGAGTTTACGGTAGCCACATCCGTTTGTCTCTTATCGAGTTAGAGATGCACACAAGAGGAGCCATGACTCTGCAGAGGAGGCAGAACATGCATGTTTGACTTCTTTCGCACCGTACGTAGTGGCGAGTCGCGCACGGTGAATAATTAATTAGCGCTCGCGTACCCGTACGACCGTTTACGGCAGTGCTTAGCGTGCGCGTGCCTACGCGGTTGTTTACGGTGGTGCTTAGCACTCGCGTACCCGTGCGGCTGTTTGCGGCGAATACGGGAGTGTAGCGCTTAGCGCTCGCGTGCCTGTGCGACTGTGCGACTGTGTTGCGGTCGCGTGTCTGCGCGATTGCCTATAGCGAGGTAGCGAGCTAAGCGCCTGACGTGCGTGTATTCGCGCGGCTATTTAAATGGCCCTTTAAATCGGAGCGGAGCGACTCCCCCCAATCCGCAGCGCGCGCACGGCAAACGCCCTGCCCTCCCACCCCTCGACCGCAACCCCCTCGCGTGCGATTGGTGTACGGGGCTGGGCAGGAGGTGGCGGCGTGTTGATTATTGCCGGAGCGCGTAGAGCGTGGGTGTGAGGGAAACGCGCGTCGGCGCGCCGCACCTGTTTGTTTACGTGCGGGACGGGGTTTTTACTTGCGAGCGCGCTCCCTGCGACACGCCGCCACTGAACAGCGTAGCGCGCCGCAAGCATAAAGCGCACCGCCCTGCTAATTGAGCCATGCCTACGAAATCAGTAACACAGTGAAGGGCACAGGGGGGCAAGGAAGTGGGGGCCAGTAGCCCGGACCCGACAGAGCAGCCAGGGGGTAGTGGGACAAATGTAGCGGGGGAGTCAGGAGCCAACGGCCCCGACAATTCGGTGATGGCAGGGGACGGTAGCCCCCTCAGAACGCCTGCTGGCAGGAGGTCACGGGGCAGACCCAAGTGCCACGGGTCGACTGACTAAGATGACTGAGATGACTGACTGATGCACCACCTGTGCCTCCTACTGTGCCAATCTGCTGTGCTTTAGCCACCCGGCGCTCCGCTCGTTGTTGTGAGCGTCGCTCCTCCGCCCTCCGTTGTTGTTGGAGGGTGACTGCCTCCAACTGCCCAGTAGCGTCCTTCACGAGCCTCCTCCACAGAGGCCGATCTTGACACCGCTGGTACCAGTCATCGGCAAGTCCACTCAGCTCCACGTCCTCCTGTACCACATCACTCCATCTCTTCTCTAGCCCGTGCCGCGCCCGTTTAGCCCCCTCGATCCGGCCGAACAAAAGCTGTTTCGGCATGTGGTGGCTGGGCATGCAGGCTACATGACCCAGCCAACGCAGCCTTGCCCGCCGGAGGAGCTCACCGATGGGACCTTGCCCAGATCTTTCAAAGATTTGTGAGCTCCTCACACAATCCAGCCTGGTTAAACCCAGGATGGATCGTAGGCAGGCTAGCCTAAATGTTTCTAATCGGCGAAGATGTTCCATTAGGGGGGTCCACGTTTCGCAAGCGTAGAGAAGGGAGGGAATGACCGTGGCCGAGAAGACCTGAAGCTTAGTGTGGAGCGACAGACCAAGTAGCTTCCACACAGCGTTACGCAACCGATGAAAAGATATTGCCGCTCAACTGATTCGGAGTGAGACCTCTGCTGTTAAACTGGAGCCGGTCATAAGCACACTGCCCAGGTATAGGAAACTCTCCACTCTCTCCACAACTGCCCCATCACCGATTGGGAGTTGTGGGGGTGGAGTGTCCGATGGTACAAAATACCAAGGCAGGTGCTTAGTTTTGGTGGGGCTGATGGTAAGGCCCCATCTCTTAGTGGCACGATCCAGTCTCAGAAGCAGCGTCTCCAACTCCTCCTCTGAATGAGCAGCTATTACTAAATCATCGGCATACATAACGTGGTTGAGCAATAGGGAGCCATCCTTTGACCGCACCCGGGCGCCGATCAGCGTCCCATTATATCTGTACCAAATGGAGATTCCCCCGGTACAGCTATTGAAGGCTTCACGAACTGCGTGGTCAAAATAGATGTTAAATAATGTGGGAGCCAGAGGACATCCCTGTCGCACCCCAAGGTGTGACAGGGCCTGCTCACCATCATGAAGGTCCTTAATGATCGTGAGCAGAGGGTCAGGTACTCCAAAAGCACGAAGAACAACCCAGAGCCCAGGCCTACTGATGGTATCGTAGGCCTTTACCAGGTCAATAAAGCAGAGATGTAGGTCTTGCTGGAATTCCCTACACCTCTGCTGTAGCAGACGGACAGAATAAATGGCATCTGGGCAGGACCGCCCTTTCCTGAAACCGCATTGGGGCTCCGCAAGCCTCTCCTCAGCGTGCCTGGCAAGGCGATATTGAATAATCCTTGCCAGGACCTTTCCCCCTTCTTAAAGAGGGGGACCACCAGGGCATCCTTCCAATCCTGCGGAACCCGTCCAGTGGTCCAGACTGTTGTTATGATGTCATATAGGGCAGTCTGTGCACAAACGCCACCTTCCCTTAGCATTTCGCTTGGGAGATCATCTCTACCCGGTGCCTTTCCAGGTCTCAGACTCCGGATCGCCTTCAGTACTTCCTCAACAGATGGCACCTCAGCCAGCCACTCACAAGGGGTGACTTCTAATATTTGAGGCACTGCAGCCTCAGCAGGGTTATCCCCACTTTGTGCCACGATGTTTTCCTGGCTGAGGGATTTCCCCTCCCCCAGGACCTCACAGAAATGCTCAACAAATCTGCAAACCTGTTCCTGGGGGTCGGAGATTGGATCACCGTTTTTTCCCCTAATGATGGTAATAGGTGTGGTGCTACAGGTCACTTTTTTGATGGAGTTAAATATAGATTTGTGATCGCGGGCCACTGAGGCAGACTCCATCTCCTCAGCAACCCGTGACCACCACCCATCCTTGCAGTGCCTCACGGCTCTCCGAACCTCCGAGCAAAGGCTGCGGTAAGCCTCCTCATTCTCTGGCGTGGGATTCTGTAGCCGATGACAGTGGACCTGTCGCTTATTCTCTGCCAGCCTGAACACCTCTTCTATCAGCCAGGGTCTCTGGGGAGGTCTGGACCGCGTACCCAAAGCAGCCATTGCAGCTACATGAGTCACAGTCCTAAACCTCACCCATTTACCCTCGACATCAGGAGGAGTGGGGGACGATGGCAACCCCAGCCACACGCGATAATGAAATTCTCGCATGCAAATTTCATCAGATAACTGAGACCAGGCCACTTTAGGTTGGAATGGGGTCATGGGTGTACACCCACCACCGGAGTAGAAGAATGGCAGGGGCATCTTACAGATGACTAGTCGATGGTCAGAGGGCAGATCAGCTCCACGGTAGGTCCTGGTGTCAAGGACATGGGCTCGCATCCGCTGGTCCGTCACTATGTAGTCCAGCAGATGTTCTTGCTTGGACCCGGCATGCATCCATGATGTTGTATGGATGCGCCGATGCCGGAACAGCGTGTTGGTAATTACAAGCCCATGGGCTGCACAAAAATCTAGCAGCCTCCTACCGCTGTTATTGAGCTGATCTGGCCCATGCCCTCCAATCACTCCAGACCAGGTGCCAGCATCATGACCAACTCGGGCATTGAAGTTACCCAACAAGATGACTCTATCCCGGCAAAACAACCCCCTACCTCCTCGCAGTGCCGGACGGGCAACTCTGTCGTGGACACTGCTGTGGGGAGAGGGCCAATTCCGATTGGCCCCTCCCCTCATGGCGTCTGTTGCCACCACAGTGGCTAAACGGGGGCTCTGGACGGGTGCGAGGGGCTAGTAACCCCTCCACCTTAAAAAAAATGTTTTACCAAATATACACACA